TTTCAATTTTTCAAACAAGGATCTTGGTGTCCACAGCAAGTCAGTCTACATAGTTTGTAAGGAAGGAATAAGGTTTCTGTTGTGATTTCTTTACCATTGAACACTGTGATTCCTGCCTTAAGCAGGACATTTTCTGAATTTTCTTTCTTAATAATTTTTCCCTTCTTCTCAGCCCCATCTCTTTGTAGAGTAGGTGACATGTGGTTGAATGCTGCATAACATTTAAGTGACTGTGTATCGTAATGAATTTACCAGGAAGTAAAAGATGAGACCATACATTTTTGAAAATGTAATAACACAGTACGGATGAGTTTATACTTGGAATAAAACATTAAATATAAGTTGTTCATTTGGAGAGTGCAACACCTTCCACTATCAAATAACAAAATATTAATTTCAAGGGCACAATAATTTTGCCCTTGAAATTATTGTTGTTTATCATGGCACATCCAAATAATTTATTGTCTAATCTTTTGTATACTTTCAGCTTATAAAATTCCTGAGCACTTATAACACAGTGTAGCTTTAGTAATTTACAGTTGTACTTCTTAAGTATCAAAATATTTTCTGTATTTTACATTGGCACAACGTTATTTACCTGTCTTAAAAATGGATCTGAGGTAAATGAGGGATGTTGGAATACTTCGCTTTCCACAGTTCCTTCATCATTGGGACCAAGCTGTTGGAACCTTGACCAGAGTCGTTCCACTTCTGATATAGGAACTGAAAAAGTTAATACATCATGCATGGTCAAAATGAAAGCTGTCTTCATCCCTCCACCCTTACAGTCAAAAACAATAATTTTATCATTATAATGAACATATTTTATGTTTGTGGGATAAATTTCAATGTTCGGACTAAGTTCAAATGGAACTTTAAACAAGGTACTGCTGTTTGATGGCTGGTTAATGTGAGACTTTAATAGACTACAGACTGTTGGGACTATAATAATCATTAGTGCTCATTTAAGAGAGGCGTATGCCTTATAAAGGGTCAAATAATATCAATGAAGAAAGGCCAACTCCACATATTTGTTTTAAGGAAGTAACAATCTTGTAGAGGTGTCTGCTTAGAGCGACTAGCTACCATTAACTGCTAGTAACTACCAGTAACTCATGACAATCTTAGCATCTTGGATTTTATCATCACCTATCACCTCCCCACCCCCCTCCCAGAAAAAAAAATGTTCATCTAAATACTGGGTTGGTAACTGGTCAAGTGGACAGAAAGTCATCTCACACGAAGTCATGTTGCCTGAAACCAGAGTTATGTTCCACGAAATTTATGGTCATGATGCCCGATATCCTTAGTCAAGTCGTCCAAAATTTTATCGAGTGTATAAACTTGAATAAAAGTTACATCTTAAGTATATTGTAAGAAATTCGAGAAATGTCATAACTCAACTGTGTCTGGTAACTTATGCAAATGTGATGTTGAACAAAGACTAAAATAGTGCTGTTGATCTCCAGCACACCAATTCAGCGTTGTTCGTTGCTTTTTTGAACTAAAACTGAGTAAAGAGCTGAAGGTAGGTCATTTAGAACATGACCTTAGTTGCTGATCCATCAAGCAGTATTCTACAGTTTCTAGTTCACAGAAAACTTGCAATGATCAGAATTGCTACACAGATCATAAAAATACATCAAGTACTGAGACATGAGTAAATACTCAATGCGTTGTTTGTTTCCAACAACAAACTTAGTTAACCAATGCGCACGTTATGTTGTGTTGTTGTTAAAGCGCTATTGCCCTCCAGTTTTATAGCTAGCGCAAGTGAGATAACTTAAATTTCATAGAAATTAAATTATTCCTGTTGTTAGACTCTTAGCGATTCCTTTTACTTTATCACAGTAAATTCAAAACAACATAAAACTTTTGCAGCTGGTTCTTAAGCAAGTGCTGTGGACCTTCTTTAAAAAACAAAATGCTTCAACATATGAAACAACAACAGAACTTTACTGTAGAAACTGATATTCCTGTTGTTTCATTTTAAAATTACAATCTTGTTAAGTCTCTGAGTTATCAAACGAACAACCAGTTTCACAGTTTTGTATTTCACTCGAGCTTTTTTGTCATATTTGCATACATAAATTTTGGATATATCTTTCAGTTTAGTTTTTGAGGATCTCTTTGAGCATGATGAAATTTTGTGCCACATGACTTAGGATATTGGGCAACATCACTGCAAACTTTGGGCGACATAACTCTGGTTTCGGGCAAGACAACTTTCAAGTGACTTGACCATAAACTACTGGGTTAATGACCTCATACATGTAGCACTTACACAACAGTGTCAGCTCCTCCTCCCTCCCTTTCCTCTTTCCCCGTCTTTGCTCTAGCGCCTATATCTATATTAAAGAGGCAAAATTTGTCCATACCCCCCCACACCATACAGAATTTTTTGACATCACCCCTCTTTGCCAAAAGAAAAATTGGCATCTAAAAAAATTGTCATCCCCTCTTCCTGCCCTTCTGCACCCCCCCCCCCCCCCAACCCCCCCCCCCCCCCCGCGGGAAACAATAAAGCAACCTAGGGGGCGATAGGAAGGTATTAGGGGCGGAGCCCGGCTTTTTTAAAGGGGGGGGCCCCGGGGCCACTCGCACCACGCTCTCCCTCTTCTCTCAGATCGCACACGCTCATTTTCTCGGGCTGTGAGGGGGGCTTTATGGAACTGTGCGGGGGAAAACATGAATTCTCCGGGACTGCAAAATGTTTCTCAAAAATAAAACAGGCTTCTTAAGGAATACATAACTACTCATATCATGCCAGTTGTATAAAGGGATGCAATTACTGGTGTTTATCATCAAAGTAATTGATAAATGTTAAATTGTTTCATGATCACATATAATATCAACATTTTGTCAACTGTGTGTCATAATCCTATGATGTTTGTATCAAAGTGAAATTCTTTCAGAGTGGAGATTTTTTTAAAAAACAGGAGATTTTTTTTAAAAACAGTTACACTCTTCAAACGTTACATCAGATTTAATATGATACTCTAGTGTGGTTGAGTGGTAATTTTCAAAGGGCCATTACCTTCAGGATTCAATAAGAAGGTAAAATTAGACATTATTTTAAGGAGGAATGTTATTTTCAGAGTTTTATGGTAACTTAATAATTACATAATAATTATTATGCTGGGAAGCGGTGGAGCCTTAGCAGTCAAAATTCCACCTGTACCTTCTGTCCTGCAGAATGAACTTTTTACTGCTTTATTAAATGCTTTAAATTGACTGCCGTATGCCACAGGATACCCAGGCTTAAGCATTACTACTATGCATGTTATGTGGTACATACTTCATGAACACCACTGTCCAGTTTCATGATAACTTTCTGTAATGCAGGAACATCTAGTGGCTGTGCTTTGTTGAGGAGCTTAAAAATACCTGAAAGAATCAAACACCGTAATTATGTAATACCAAATAACCAATTTAACTGTTTATTTCCACATTTGCAAGAAAAATACCTTCCAACTTTTGTTCCAAAGGAGCAGTTTTCCACCACATCAGAACACCAACAAAAGATTGAAAATTCACATTGCCATTTTCATCTGTAGGAAATGTTCTCCAAACCTTATTAAACAAACAGAACACAGTGGTCAATTGTTGAAAAACAGCATGGAGGCCAGGATTATCATTGTGTACTGTAAGAGTAAAGAATTCACACAAGTTGATTGATGATAATGTGGACACACTTATCAATTTCTCCAGTCACAGAGCCACAAAGAAACGTTTAAATGATAGACATAAAAGGGCTAAATAACTGAATCTGAATTACATGTAATGGAGAAGACATTGTTTTTACTAGCACATGTATATTGACACCAGTGTATTATAGCAGAAATGATGAATCGTACAAATAGAAAAATTTAATTATGAGTCTTGAAAAACTTTGACCATATTTTAAAACTGTGGAAGTTTTGTGATGAGTCTCAAAATATCAGTTTAGTGTGTTTCGTTTGAACTTGGAATTTGGAACTTGGAACTTTTTTCCTGAAAGGTTTCAATTTTTCAAACAAGGATCTTGGTGTCCACAGCAAGTCAGTCTACATAGTTTGTAAGGAAGGAATAAGGTTTCTGTTGTGATTTCTTTACCATTGAACACTGTGATTCCTGCCTTAAGCAGGACATTTTCTGAATTTTCTTTCTTAATAATTTTTCCCTTCTTCTCAGCCCCATCTCTTTGTAGAGTAGGTGACATGTGGTTGAATGCTGCATAACATTTAAGTGACTGTGTATCGTAATGAATTTACCAGGAAGTAAAAGATGAGACCATACATTTTTGAAAATGTAATAACACAGTACGGATGAGTTTATACTTGGAATAAAACATTAAATATAAGTTGTTCATTTGGAGAGTGCAACACCTTCCACTATCAAATAACAAAATATTAATTTCAAGGGCACAATAATTTTGCCCTTGAAATTATTGTTGTTTATCATGGCACATCCAAATAATTTATTGTCTAATCTTTTGTATACTTTCAGCTTATAAAATTCCTGAGCACTTATAACACAGTGTAGCTTTAGTAATTTACAGTTGTACTTCTTAAGTATCAAAATATTTTCTGTATTTTACATTGGCACAACGTTATTTACCTGTCTTAAAAATGGATCTGAGGTAAATGAGGGATGTTGGAATACTTCGCTTTCCACAGTTCCTTCATCATTGGGACCAAGCTGTTGGAACCTTGACCAGAGTCGTTCCACTTCTGATATAGGAACTGAAAAAGTTAATACATCATGCATGGTCAAAATGAAAGCTGTCTTCATCCCTCCACCCTTACAGTCAAAAACAATAATTTTATCATTATAATGAACATATTTTATGTTTGTGGGATAAATTTCAATGTTCGGACTAAGTTCAAATGGAACTTTAAACAAGGTACTGCTGTTTGATGGCTGGTTAATGTGAGACTTTAATAGACTACAGACTGTTGGGACTATAATAATCATTAGTGCTCATTTAAGAGAGGCGTATGCCTTATAAAGGGTCAAATAATATCAATGAAGAAAGGCCAACTCCACATATTTGTTTTAAGGAAGTAACAATCTTGTAGAGGTGTCTGCTTAGAGCGACTAGCTACCATTAACTGCTAGTAACTACCAGTAACTCATGACAATCTTAGCATCTTGGATTTTATCATCACCTATCACCTCCCCACCCCCCTCCCAGAAAAAAAAATGTTCATCTAAATACTGGGTTGGTAACTGGTCAAGTGGACAGAAAGTCATCTCACACGAAGTCATGTTGCCTGAAACCAGAGTTATGTTCCACGAAATTTATGGTCATGATGCCCGATATCCTTAGTCAAGTCGTCCAAAATTTTATCGAGTGTATAAACTTGAATAAAAGTTACATCTTAAGTATATTGTAAGAAATTCGAGAAATGTCATAACTCAACTGTGTCTGGTAACTTATGCAAATGTGATGTTGAACAAAGACTAAAATAGTGCTGTTGATCTCCAGCACACCAATTCAGCGTTGTTCGTTGCTTTTTTGAACTAAAACTGAGTAAAGAGCTGAAGGTAGGTCATTTAGAACATGACCTTAGTTGCTGATCCATCAAGCAGTATTCTACAGTTTCTAGTTCACAGAAAACTTGCAATGATCAGAATTGCTACACAGATCATAAAAATACATCAAGTACTGAGACATGAGTAAATACTCAATGCGTTGTTTGTTTCCAACAACAAACTTAGTTAACCAATGCGCACGTTATGTTGTGTTGTTGTTAAAGCGCTATTGCCCTCCAGTTTTATAGCTAGCGCAAGTGAGATAACTTAAATTTCATAGAAATTAAATTATTCCTGTTGTTAGACTCTTAGCGATTCCTTTTACTTTATCACAGTAAATTCAAAACAACATAAAACTTTTGCAGCTGGTTCTTAAGCAAGTGCTGTGGACCTTCTTTAAAAAACAAAATGCTTCAACATATGAAACAACAACAGAACTTTACTGTAGAAACTGATATTCCTGTTGTTTCATTTTAAAATTACAATCTTGTTAAGTCTCTGAGTTATCAAACGAACAACCAGTTTCACAGTTTTGTATTTCACTCGAGCTTTTTTGTCATATTTGCATACATAAATTTTGGATATATCTTTCAGTTTAGTTTTTGAGGATCTCTTTGAGCATGATGAAATTTTGTGCCACATGACTTAGGATATTGGGCAACATCACTGCAAACTTTGGGCGACATAACTCTGGTTTCGGGCAAGACAACTTTCAAGTGACTTGACCATAAACTACTGGGTTAATGACCTCATACATGTAGCACTTACACAACAGTGTCAGCTCCTCCTCCCTCCCTTTCCTCTTTCCCCGTCTTTGCTCTAGCGCCTATATCTATATTAAAGAGGCAAAATTTGTCCATACCCCCCCACACCATACAGAATTTTTTGACATCACCCCTCTTTGCCAAAAGAAAAATTGGCATCTAAAAAAATTGTCATCCCCTCTTCCTGCCCTTCTGCACCCCCCCCCCTCCCCAACGCCCCCACCCCCGCCGTGGTAAACATTAATGCAGCCTAGGGAGCTCAGAGAATGTATCAGGGGCGTAGCCAGGATTTTTCAAAGGGGGGGTCACAGAGGCTACTCACCTGCTGCTCTCCCTCGTATATCAGAGTGCTCAGTCGTATTATCGCGGCATGAAGGAGGGTCTCAATGGGGTGGTGGCTTTTACGGTTATCGGCTAAAATTTTGGTTCTTTTACGGCTATCGGTTAATTTTTTTCAGTTACGGTTAACAAAAAGTTAAAAATTAATTTCTTTTATTTCAAAGAGTTGAATATTAATAAACCTGTATTTTTTGTATCTTCAAAGGAAAATAAAGGTCTTAGGATCATCTCGGGATAAAATGAAGTTATTCTAAAAATTTTAACATTTGATAGATCATACTACCTATAAAGTATTCCATTTTTAATATTATTTTACGCATAGAAATGTCAATAGTCAATTTAAAAATAATCTTTGTGAAAAAGCAAAAGCAGACACGCGAACGCCCAACTCAAGGCGGGGGGAGGGGGACATTCATTACAACAGAGATGGCCGTTTTCACACTGGCGACCCATTATTTGTATGAGATGGGTTATCCGTACCCATCTCATACAAATAATGGGTCGCCAGTGTGAAAACGGCCATCTCTGTGAGATAGGTAATACGTCATATGTCTTAATTTGAAATGGAAAGGGTTTTAATTTTGAATGAACAATCCGCCTGGTCTCTTGGCCTGATTTTATCCGTAAATTTTGACGGACAGTTTGAAGATGGATTATCCGTTTCAGATAGCCTGTGTACAGCCGCCCCCTCCCCTCAGAAAAAAATCGGAGAAGGGGTGTCCTTTGGGGGTGTCTGTTGGGGAGGGGGCGACTGTGCACAGGCTAGGCTCAGTCGGATGATCCATTTCTAGCTCTAGTTTGAAAACGGCCAATAACGAAATTCCCGTGTCCAGTGTTTTTAATGATAGCGAAGGACTGTACCGAAATAAGACTGCCTGCCGTTGCCTTGTCCATCGCATAGGCCTCATTATTCCGCGCGTCTAATGCGTTTCGGGTCACGTGGCTCGAGCGAGTTTTTTCCTCAGATACGCCACCGAAATGCCTTCACCGAGATTGCGTGGGAAGACGCCGAACAGGGACTAGCATGGCAATGTCTACCTTAGCATCAGAGAAAAGCAGGGAATTGTTGTTTATCGGCAACGTGTTTTACAAACAGTGACATCTCTAGGTGTTCTTTCACTAGTATTTCGCCGGAGGCAAGGACCTTCTGAAAATCGCAAATTTTAGTCCCCAGCAAGAAGCCAGATTTTCACTATGGAAACAATTCGTTCCCCGAGAGAGCGGCGGAAATGGAGTTTAGGTCTAGGTCACTACTAAAAGGCGCTTGGCCTAACGTGCGTACGGAGTCAAAGTAGCCGGGAAATAAATAACGCAACCATAAGTGAGTTTGGCACCTTCCTTAAAATTAACAAATCTAGGGAACAAGTTTACGGTTAACTCTTTTTTTTCCCTATTTACAGTTAACGGTTAAAATTTTTCAATTTTTACGGCTATCGACTAAATTTTTGGCCGTTTTACGCCTATCGGTTAACCCCATTAAGACCCTCATGAAGGCCCATATTAACTAAAGAAAAGAGCCGTTGATGAAAATACCTTACAAAAAAACAAATTTTAAAAAAGTGGGCTTTTCAACAATGGCTTTTACGGCCAAGATATTGTCATGGCGTTTTCGCCACTTGAATACTGTAGGTTGTTTGCTCAAAAGAAGGCCTACCAAGGGGGGGTCACGGGCACCCCAGGACCCCCCCCTAGCTACGCCCCTGTGTATGCTTTGACTTGAGACATTTGGAAAACATTGGTGCACTTTGCTCAACTTTGCAAACATTTACATACCAAAATAATCCTCTGGTACTGTGGGTTTGACAGTTTCAAACAAAGGTTTTAAAACTTCTTCAAGATGGTCCACATTGTCGACTACAGGTTGTTCAGGGGTTGTTGGCCTCTCTTCATGGTTTGCTTCTGGCTGAGGCTGTTGTTTATTTCTCCTCAGAAACTTGAACATCCGCAGAATCTACCTTAGGTTAGCCTCAGTCCCTGTTTTATTGAACGTATCGTAACGGTACGACTAGTCGCAGTTTGGTTCAAACTATTACCACAAGTTTGGAGCCACCGTCCGCCGCCATATTTGTTTGTATGCTCTCGTCCCAGCGCCTTACCTGCCAATAAATTCGCTTTGTTACTTTCAAGGAATTCTGGGTACAACTTACATTGCTCATCCCCCGGTTACCAGCAATCAAAGGAAATGAGTGATTAATTGTAAGGGAATAGAGTATAAAGCATATCCTTACAATTTCTCCATGATCAGAGGTATGTAAAAATGTTACTTTTGTAAAATATTTCATTTAGCAATTATTGAATGAGGTTGAGAAGGATATTTAACAATTATTCCTCGGGCCCGAATGGACTCTGAGTGAATAGCCCATGAAGCCGAAGGCCGACTGGGCTATTGACTCAGAGGTCATGAGGGCGAGAGGAACAATTGTTGTAGTAAAATCCAACTAGCTGGTCAAAAATATCGAGACAAAACATTTTTAGCTGGTTAAAGCTAGACTTTAATCCTTTTTTTGCCGCAAAAAAACCGGTGCTTTCGCTACAAGTGGGCTATAACATATAGCCTAGTGCATGTAGTAGCTCAACCAATCAGAACGAGGCATTGATAATAGACTCGCCACTAGTTGGATTTTACTAAGAAGGATTATGCAGATCGGATCGAGGAGGGTGTTTCATTAACAATTATTCCTCGAGCCCAAATGGGTCAATAGCCCATGAGGCCGAAGGCCGAATGGTCTATTGACTCAGGGGCAAGAACAGCAAGAAGACAATTGGAAGGGCGACATCTACTATTTGGAGAATATTTGCGGAGCTGAACAACCCTAAACATACACTATCAAAGATGGAACTTAACATCGATGGAGGTAAGCATATTTTAGCCATGTTTTTAAACTAGGAATTATTTTGAATGAATAATAAAACAATTACTGAATTCAGCTTTCGTATCATAAATTATGAAGAATTATGTAGATCTTGGAAGGCCTCGGTGGATAACACCCTTCCTCGATCTCCACAATTCTTCACATGATGCACAGCCTCGATCATTAATTGTTAAATCAACCGAGGCCAGATAACACACTCTTGCAAGAGACACGTGTGCTGTCTCTAAAAGCTTCTGAACTACTCACTTCAGTACTGAAACACTCAGCCAGGTGATTATATGAGCCACAAAACTGACACCAGAATAAGAGAGAGGCCATAGACAAGACCATGATAGAGTTATTGTGCCAAAACCCAGCTTTCTCAAAGAAGAACTGGTTCTGGTTATGGATTGCAAGTTGAACCTTGTATTCTACTGTTACTGCATTTTTGCTGATGAAGGGATTGGTGTGCAAGCCACCAATGCACAAGTATTTGGAGGCTGCTACCCTCGTATGCCACTGATAAACATCACTGTTGAGGGTATTGAAAAGTTATTGGACGAGTTAAATCCCTATAAGGCAGCTGGTCCAGACAACCTACAGCACTGCATCCTAAGGGAATTAAGCTGCCAGATTGCTCCAGTCCTTTGCAACATATTTAAGGTTTCCCTTAAAACAGGTACTGTCCCTGATGACTGGAAGTAAGCAAATTTAATGTAACTCCAATACACAAAAAAGGGCTTAGACAACTACCTGAGAATTACCGACCTGTTTCCCTTACTTGTATATGCTGCAAATTAATGAAACACATTCTGGTCTCACATATCTCAAGGCATTTGGATCGTCACGCTATTTTAAATGATTCTCATCATTGTTTCAGGCAAGCACAATTATGTGAAACCCAATTATGCCTTTATAGATGACCAAGAAATGCAGGGAGGAGGCCAAACGGATGTCATTGTTATAGACTTTAGCAAGGAATTTGACAAGTTTCCACACAATCGCTTGCTATACAAATTGTTTAAGTGTGGCATTAATGACATTACATTGCAGTGGTTGAGAAGTTTTCTTGAGAAAAGAGTACAAAGTGTAGTTCCAGAAGGAGAGCATTTGCATTCAGTTCCAGTAACCTCAGGTATACCCCAAGGACCAGTGCTGGGGCTGTTAATGTTACTTATTTTTATTAATGATCTCCCATGCTATGTTAAGACAATGGTCCGTCTTTTTGCCGATGACACTGTCATTTACCTTACAATAAAATCTGAGAGAGATTGCTGGCAATTACAAGATGATCTTCACAGCTTGGAAAAATGGGAATCTGAATGGTTTATAGAATTTAGTCCAAGCTAGAGCAACGTTATACAGGTAACATGCAGACATACACCTTTCAAATTTCAGTACAAACTTCATGGCAAGGACCTAGAAACTGTTGATACTACTAAATATTTAGGGATCAACCTCTCGCATGATTTACGCTAGAATGATCATGTAAATGAAATTACCAACAACTGAACTTTCTACGCTGCAATCTCCGCACTTGTTTGGCCAGATCCGAAGAACGAGCATACAAAGACCCATTGTTGAATACAGTGCCACTGTCTGGGACCCTTATGTAGCTAAGAACATACAACAGGTCGAAATGATTCAAAGCTGCTCGCTGGATACTCTGGAGCTCAGGTGATCTGACGCATGTCTCTGTATGCTGTACAAACAGAGTAATGGATTAGCCACTTATGAATGCATCAAGCTTCAGAGAGATCATGAGAGCAGAATGGACACCAGGCTCTTATCTCTTGGTCATCGATTAAAGCAGGCACGTTGTACATGTGATTATTACAAGAACTCTTTTTACCCTAGGACAATGGTACGGTAGAACAATCTCCCACCAGAAATTATAGCATCTACTTCACCATGTTCATTTAGGCAATCCCTGTGTAATCATACATTTTGGTTAGTAATTTTATGTTATTGTTTTATTCATTTTTGTAATTTTTATTATTTAAAGCAGTTTGCAATATAAAGAAAAGAGAGCACATCACTGGAAAAGTGACATGAAGTACAGTAACAAATTTAAAGAGGCTTTTGAAGAGGAAGCAACTAAGATGTGGAGAAAAATATATATTGTAAAGGCGGAAATCAAACACCTCAAGGAAAATTCATGGAAAAGTCAAAGTTGCAGCCATGAAAGCTGCAGGTGTGCTTCATTAGGTATAAAAAGTAAGAGAAGGCTGGATAATTAAACGGCTTGTTCAAACAAGACGCAAGACGGGTTTATGCAGAGTCTAGTCCATTGTACAATGGGGAAGAGGAGCCCCCCCTGCCCCCCCCACCCCCGCCAAGTATCAGACATTTAAAAGTGCTAGCACAGAAGGCAATGACAGTGGTATGTTCAGTGATATTGTGGAAGCATGCAGCTTCAGGGCAGATCTGTGGGAGCAGAGTAGAAACTGGTAACAAGGATGAAAAATGGTTTCTGTCGATTAAGGAAGCAATCACAAGGAGAGTGCCGACACCCTCAGGGGAGGTGGACAGCTTGATATCTCCCAAGCAGTTTTAAGGTTCTTCTTTAAAAAAAAAAGACCCAAATGGCTAGTAAACTACTGGTGGAAGTGTGCACATGTGCTCCATGAGGTTGAAACACAAGCTTTTTTTTAATACTTGTCTGTCTCTGAAAGTAACATGGATTATCTCTTTTGGTTTGTGGAGAGTAGAATGAGGCTGATTCCTAAACCAGGAGTGTTCTAGGTGACCAAAAACATGTTTAAATAACCTCTTTTAAGTGGGTAACATCTTGTCTCCTGGACACCATGGACAATCATCTTGCTGAGTTTGACTTGTTGATGGATGGTGGGCAAAGAGGTGCCAAAGAAAGATGTAGTGGCACATCAGGTAACCCGATGATTGACAGAATTGTCACGATGGACTGTCATGGAAAAAGTGAAATATTCTGATTATGGCCAGGGTAGATGTGAAGAAAACTTATGATTCTGTGGATGACAGATGTCTTTGTGATATTATGGAATTCCACCAACTTCTCTACTGGCTCTGTAGAGTTATAACTCAATTAGTCCCCATTCCGGTTGGAACGCCAAGGTAGTGGCTGTGACTATGGGTGGAATTGTTGGATAGTATAATATTCAGTAGGTTTCTTCCTCAAAGTAATACCCTCTGTCCTCGTCTCTTTACAATGTGTTTACGTAAATCAAGTTGCAGGTTAGTCTCTGAGTGCAACTGAGGGGTATAGGTTACCCAGACCAGTAGGTACCAAGCTAACCCACCTGCTGTTTATTCATGATCTCAGAGTGTACAGAACTGAATGGTTCTTCTGAAGGCAAGGTGGACACAGCTTAAAGATTTACCAACTCTGCGATGCAGGACATGGGTTTACATTAGAACCCCAAGGAATTCCATGTAATACACATCAGGAGTGCATGATGCAGCACATCTCAGGCTAGATTAGCCAGTACTTATTGAAAGTTTGAAGGCAGGGCCTACCTATGATTTCTAGGAGTATGCAAGATCATGGTGCAGAATGAAAAGTGGACCCTTGAACTCATGGCAAAGGCTTACCTGCAAAGGATGTCGCTAATTTGGTCAAGTCCTCCTTCTGATGCCAAGCGTGTTGCAGCTTCTAACCAGTTTGCTCTTCCTCTGCTTACTCACTTGATGTGGACCAAGAACTGGCCCATCACTAAGTTTAGATTGATTGACAGAGAGGTGAGAAAGATCATTTGTAAGAGTGGAGGTAAACACCCACTCAGTTTCACAACTGTAATGTACCTTTCAAGAGACAAGAGAGGGTGTGGCTTATGATCAGTTGCACAGAATTGTAAACTCAATAAAGTCAAGACAGTGGTGAAACAAGGAAGTGCTGTATATAAATGACTTCCCCCTTAGTGTAAGCTGTAGCACAGAGCTTTTTGCTGATGACAGTGTACTCTATCGTAAGATCGCATCTGTAGATGATTGTGTCGAGTTTCAAGATGACCTCTTGTCTGCCGCCTCCTGGTGTGACTTGTGGAAGGTCAAGCTGAAGTCGGAAAAGTGTAAGGCTCTACATGTTACCAAGTCCAATTGTCCTTTAGTTCAT